GGACACTGGCGCCACCGGGCCCTCTGACCACCACCAGTAGGCAACGGGTGAAGTGTCTTGCCCAAGGACACAACAACCGAGACTGTCCAAGCCGGGGGTCGAACCGGCAACCTTCCAATTACAAGGCGAACTCCCAACTCTTGAGCCACGATCGCCCCTACAGTGGTGTGAAAAAGTGTTTGCACCCTTCCTGATTTCCTATATTTGTATGTTTGGCAAACTTAAATATTTCAGATCAAACCAATTAAAATATTATAACACAAGTTAACACAAAATGCAGTTTCAAAATGAAGTCGTTTATTATAAAGACAGGCCCTGTGTAAAAGTGACTGGACCCCAAACCTACTAACTGGTTGGCCAGCTTAGCATCTTAGCAGCAACAACTGCAATCAAGCATTTGTGATAACTGGAAGTCTTTTACAGCACTGTGGAGGAATTTTTTCCCACTCATCTTTGCAGAATTGTTGGGTTTCATTAACATTGGAGAGTTTTCAAGCATGAACTGTACTTTTAAGGTCAAGCCAGAACATGTCAGTTGGATTCAGGTCAGGACTTTGACTAGGCTACTCCAATATCTTCATTTGTTTTTCTTAAGCCATTCAAGTAGATTTGCTTGTCCATTTTGAATCCAGAGCCAAACCCAAGTGCACATTAGCTTCAGGTCACAAACAGATGGATGGACATTCTCCTTCAGGATGTTTTGCTACACAGCAGAATTCATGGTTCCATTTACCACAGCAGGTTTTCCAGGTCCTGAGGCAGGGAAACAGCCCCAGACCAACACACTACCACCACCATATTTTACTGTTGGTATGCTGTTCCTTTTCTGACAATGTGTTTACAGCTGTGTTACTTTTATGCCAGATGTAATGGGGCACATGCCTTCCAATAAGTTCAACTTTTCTTCTCGTTATTCCTCAGAATATTTTCCCAGAAGTCTTGGGCATCATCAAGATGTTTTCTGGGAAACCTGAGACTAGCCTTTAAGTTCCTTTTGCTCAGCAGTGGTTTTTGTCTTGGAACTCTGTGTCAAGGTCTGGCTGTGTGGCAGCCAGGATGAGGACCCAAACGCAGGACTCTGGAGACAAAACCTGAACTTAAGCAGCTTTATTGCCGATAACTACAAACTAAAAATACAAAACACTAAACTCTTGGCATAGTAGCTAGACACTAGAAAGCAAAGCATGGAGCACACAGCACAGGGGTAACATAACCGGAGGACTACCTGAAGACTGATGATGTGATGAGGAGCAAATACAAACTGAGGACTTAAATACACTGGATAACGAGAGGGTGGGCAACAGGTGGTAACACAGGTCATAACAGACAGAGGAGACAAAGGAAGAAATATAAGGAGAGTAACATGGGAACAGGTAAGGGAGACGAAACAGAGACATGGCTAAGAAACAAAGAGAGAGGGAGCGAGAGACACAACAGGCCAGGGAGACTAAGGAGTGCGCTAAAGACAGAACACAGAGACAAAGACTGTGGGAAATGAGAACAAGACTGACATACACAGGAAACAAAGGGAAAGGAAAACACTCAGGGAACTAGACCAGAACCACAAGGGATAAACACAATAAGAAAATCTCAAACACATAAGAAAACTGAACTAGGAAATATAAGTTACCCTAGGAATACGACAATAATGAATAACCAAGATTCAAAAGTCTTCAAATGCAAAACACTGGGTCAAAACCCAGGACCATGACACTCTGCCATGCATGCCATTTTTGCTCAGTCTCTTTCTTATGGTGGAGTCATGAACACTGACCTTAACTGAGGCAGCTGAGGCCTTGTTTGGATGTTGTTCTGGGGTCTTTGTGACCTCTTCGCCATTTGTGGACAATGGCTCTCACTGTGGTTCACTGTACTCCCACAGCTTTAAAAATGGCCTTATAAGGCCATAATAAAGCCATATAATGGTTTTCCAGACTGAGAGATCTCCATAAATGTGTTTCATATTAATTCCTGAATTTCCTTGGATCACAGCATGATGTCTGGCTTTTAAAGGTTCTATTGGTCTACCCCACTTTGTCAGGCAGGTCCTGTATAGTGATTTCTTGAATAAGAACAGGTGTTGGCAGTAATCAGGTCTGCGTAGAGAAACTGAACTCAGCTCTCCAAAGATGTCAGTTTATGTTAAAACGAGGGAGGGTCAGTCATTTTCACACAGGGCCACGCAGATTTGTTTTCTTTCCTTTTAATAATAAACACCCTCATTTATAAACTACAGTTTGTGTGTACCTGTGTTATCTTTATCTAAAATTTAAATTTACTTGATTATCTAAAACATTTAAATATGACAAGCATGTAAAAAAATTGGAAATCAGGAATTGGAAAGACACTTTTTCACACCACTGTATGATAACAGAAAACTTAAATGTCTGCACATCATCTCGGGTTGTGCCTGACTGGCTGTAAGACCAGCAGATGGATGGGCAATATTGAGTTTCCAACAAATATGAAATTTGGAATTAGATTCCTTTCATGTCAATTCAACAACCCATGCGTATAGAATTCAGCAGCCTTGCATACAAAGAAGCCATCATGCCTGGGACAGTGTCTGCTTTGCACACGCTGCTATACTCTTAGGCTCTCACAGATAGCTCTCTGCACCTTCTGCTTGTATGAATAAACTTACTTTTGACTGTCTGGAGGCAGAGCCCAAAGGAAGACGAGGTCTAATATGATTGGCCACTTTGATAGACATTTCAGGTTACATTAAACTGAAGTATACTGTGGCAGCAACAGAAACCATCTTTTAAACTGTATTTGTTTACAATTTGAAAAATGAGATTTGCCAAATTAACTATAAACAATTATTGTTTGCTGTGCAGTAGTGGAAATACTGACAACTGTCACTGGGTTACTTTACTGTTGAAGAAATATTTTAAACCAGAGGCTTCTAAGGCAAGTTCTGAAGCCACTGCACTGCTGTCCCATTAATCTGTTATACAGTATAACATACAGTGGTTTGAAAAGTATTCGGCCCCTTGAACTTTCCCACATTTTGTCACATTACAGCCACAAACATGAATCAGTTTTATTGGAATTCCAGGTGAAAGACCAACACAAAGTGGTGCACACGTGAGAAGTGGAACGAACATCATACATGATTCCAAACATTTTTACAAATAAATAAGTGCAAAGTGGGGTGTGCGCCAGTGATTGTGGAGTGGCTCCCACAGACAGCCCACTGCAGCCTCTTAATGGGTTCAGAGTCACCATGGGTTACATTCTCCATGTAGCTTACTGTGCAGCTCTCTCTTTCAGCACGGAGGGATGTCTCTCTAATATCCAAAGGACAGGGAGGTAATGAATATTAGTAAGGAGTAAAGCCATGTGAGTGGTCTGGAATAAAAAAAAAAGAGGTTTATGACTGTGATGACGGGGATGTATATGTGCAGGCAGGGCCTCACATGCGCCATTACAGGTCATCTGCTTTAAAGGTATGAGTAGATGTTTCTTCAGCCAGGACACATGGGGGTGTGATATCCTATACTAAATACATTGTACGTTGTTCTGTTTCTCAGGGAGCAGAGGTTTTAGGCAAAGCATTCTGCTTAAGCTGTAGGACAGCCATCAACCGAAACACTGCTATTCCCTTATAAAAGTGTAAAATAACCCACTCAGGTGATCCTACCTTGAAGGCATAGTTTCCAACTGCACTAACCACATCCTTGAAAAGTATCTTGGAGGTGAAAGTGTGTCCATGATATACAATGGGCTCTCCATTGGCACCATCCCAGCAGTCTACTTCAACACATCGGCAGCCACGATTCAGAGCCCTGAAGAACAAGGACAAATACAATCTTTCCTTTATTATTGATTCTGTTCTGGTTCACAGAAAGGTAAAAAATACAATGGCCATGAATATATCCTTCATCTTCTTCTTCTTCTTCTTCCTTCGATTGCTCCTACAGTGGATCATCTGCCTCCGTGTCACTTTATTTTTAGTATCCTCCACTGTCACACCAACCCTTTATATGTCCGTCACTACATCCCTGAACTTCCTCTGAGGTCTTCCTGTGTTCCCCCTTCCAAGCAGATCCATAATCATAATCCTTTGTCTAATATATCCACCATCTCTCCTCTGCACAAACCATTTCAACCTTGCTTCTCTAACTTTGTCTCCAAACTCCTCTACATGAACTATCCCTCTAATACACTCATTTTTTAAAAATGAAAATGTTATCATTGTCAACTCTGCCACCTCCGGCTTACCATCCTGTCTTTTTGTCAGTGCCACTTTTTCCAAACCATACATCATAGTCTGTCTCACTATGATCTTGTACACCTTCCCTTTCACTCTTGCTGCTATCCCTGTGTCACACATCATCCCTAACACTTCTCTCCACCCAGACAACCCTGCCTACACTCACTTGACCCCGTCTGCCTTTTATTCACACATTCTGGATTCTGGATTGCTTCTACTGACTTTCTGACAGGATCCTGTGTGAAAAAATCATTGCACCCCCCTGTTATAACTTAAATTAATGGTGGTGTATTATATCTTTGGAAAGCCGAGTTCAATTTCTCTAGCCACACCGAGACCTGATTACTGCCACCACCTGTTCTCAATCAAGAAATCACTTAAATAGGATCTGTCTGACAAAGTAGAGTAGGCCAAAAGATCCTCAAAATCTAGTACAGCGATGAAGATGTTAGAAAGACCCAAGAGAAACATCCAAAGACCCGAATGCCTCGCTTGGTTGAGGTCAGTGTTCGTGACTCCACCATGAGAAAGAGATCCTTCATGGCAGAGTTCAAAAACCACTGCTGAGCAAAAGGAGCACAAAGACTCATCTCAGTTATGCCTGAAAATATCTTAATGATCCCCAAGTCCTTTGGGAATATACTCTGAGCTGACGAGACAAAAGTTTAACTTTTTGGAAGGTGTGTGTCCCATATTGACATCCAGTGTAAAAGTAACACAGCATTTCAGAAAATGAACATCATACCAACAGTAAAATATGGTGGTGGTAGTGTGTTGGTCTGGGGCTCTTTTGCTGCCTGCCAGGACCTGGAAAACTTGCTGTGGTAAATGGAACCATGAATTCTCCCTTCTAGCAAAACATCCTGAAGAAGAATGTTCAGCCATCTGTTTGCGACCTCAAGCTGAAGGACACTTGGGTTCGGCAGCAGGACAGTGATTCAAAGCACAGTTGATCTTGCAATGACTTAAGAAAAACACACTGAACACTTTAGAGGGGCCTAGTGAAAGTGCTGCCCTGAATCTGATTGAGATGCTGGCAACAGGTTCTAATCCCAACGCATTATATACCAATTGTGACAAATCATCGCTATTTTAGGCGTTGGGAGTGCAAAGTCGTCTTCATTTTATGCATTGGGAAGGACAGCAGGCTGTTGGGAATGAGAGCAGGTTGGAATGAATCTATACATGTGCTTTACGTGTGAAATGAAAATAATAAACCTAACAAAGTATTATGTACCTAAAATCTGTTGGAATTATTTGCAATCGCCATATTGACTATATGGGTTTCTTGGTCTGCAGTGAACATGCTTCCTCTGCCCCAGCATCTGGTCAGCTAGCAGTTCTATAAAGTAACAGTTTCAGTATTGTTACATCTATGGTATTGTTGTGTTCCTCATTAGCATACGGCAGTGCTACAAGTCTTAGTGCAAAGTGACTGTACTAACCGATTCTCATTTCGAAATGTCCTTATGATGCTTGCTACAGTGTAGCGGCTCGAGTTAGGCTGAACCCGTTGGCCAGCTTCCCTCAGGGTCACTCCACGGTTGATTACATGGTCCACTATTGTAGCTCTGATGTCGTCAGTAATTCTATTTCTTACTCTTCTTACCCTTCCTCTTCCCCCTCCTCATCCTTGTCCTTGTCCTCTACCTTCACCTCCTTGTCCTTGTCGTCCTCTTCGTCCAACTTCTTCACCTCCACATCCTCTTCCTCGGCCTCCTCTACTTCTCACTCTTCTCACTCTTCCTGCTCCCTCCATTGTACTCCACACGGACAGCTTACCTGTAGCTTATTTATAGTGGGTAGGCTGATTGCAAAGTGAACTAATTATCTAACACAGTTTTCACATGAGACAGTGTGCCAGACAGTTGGCAAAATACTGTAAATAACAGCCATAAATGTGTATAGTTTTGCTAGGAGTGTGTTGATCATTTGGAAGCTGCGTGCAAAGCAGTGCTTGTGCTTTTAGTTTTGCAAACTCAGTGAGTGGTTTTGCTATAAGTATTAATAGTTTTAGGAATTGTGCTATAAGAATCACAGTTAGGGTTTAAGCATTCAGAAAAAACTGTATTGCTTCAATCTTAAATATGATCAACCTATCTCTAATAATCAGCTATGTACCACAGGCCTTCAAGCTGGCTGTAGTTAAACCTTTACTCAAAAAGGATCTCTAGACCCAGCAGTCTTAGCTAATTATAGGCCAATCTCCAACCTTCCTTTATATCAAACATCCTTGAAAGAGTAGTTGTCAAACAGCTAACAGATCATCTGCAGAGGAATGGTTTATTGGAAGAGTTTCAGCCAGCCTGAGGTTAATTATGGAGTTCCACAGGGTTCAGTGCTGGGACCAATCCTGTTTACATTATACATGCTTCCCTTAGGCAGCATCATTAGAAGACATAGCATACATTTACAGCTCGCAAGCTACTGTAGCCAAACCCAGGCAAATATCGCAGAATGCATTTTGTCCAAAACTCAAACAAGGCAGTTGCGGAGGAACGCAGAGTGGCGGAGTTTGAAATATTACTCTTTCTGGGTCACAAAATACATTTTTAAGATATTTTCACGTCAAATTCCCTGATGAAAAATGTTCTGTTCTTATTTAAACAGCTGACTTTGAATTTAATCTAACACTAAAAAGAAATATTTAAATTAAGGAGGAAACATTTTCATAATATCTTATCTTAATGACCTTGTAGTACCATATCACCCTATTAGAGCACTTCGCTCTCGCTCTGTAGGCCTACTTGTTGTTCCTAGAGTATTTAAAAGTAGAATGGGAGGTAGAGCCTTCAGTTTTCAGGCCCCTCTTCTGTGGAACCAGCTTCCAGTTTGGATTCAGGAGACAGACACTATCTCTACTTTTAAGATTAGGCTTCAAACTTTCCTTTTTGCTAAAGCATATAGTTAGGGCTGGACCAGGTGACCCTGAATCCTCCCTTAGTTATGCTGCAATAGACGTAGGCTGCCGGGGGATTCCCATGATGCATTGAGTTTTTCCTTTCCAGTCACCTTTCTCACTCACTATGTGTTAACAGACCTCTCTGCATTGAATCATATCTGTTATTAATCTCTGTCTCTCTTCCACAGCATGTCTTTATCCTGTCTTCCTTCTCTCACCCCAACCGATTGCAGCAGATGGCCCCGCCCCTCCCTGAGCCTGGTTCTGCTGGAGGTTTCTTCCTGTTAAAAGGAAGTTTGTCCTCCCCACTGTCGCCAAAGTGCTGCTCATAGGGGGTCATATGATTGTTGGGTTTTTCTCTGTATCTATTAGTGTACGATCTACTGTGCAATATAAAACGCCTTGAGGTGACTGTTGCTGTGACTTGGCGCTATATAAATAAAATTGAATTGAATATTAATTTCCAAACTAAGACTATTAGCAAATCTTTCATGGTATCCCTTGTGTTATTCTAATATTTTCATTGATACATTTAATGGATGAGAAATAATCACTTAAAAATAATATGATGTCAAGGCCCTCTCTTTATTTTATTAAACTCAGCGGAGTATAGTGATAAGAATGTTTTCCAGTTAGAAAAGCTAGTCAACTGTGGGCACGAGTGAGCCCTATATTCCACATAAAGACTTTGAAAAGCTTATCCACGCCTTCATTAGTTCTAGATTGGACTATTGCAACTGGCTATATTTCGGCCTCCAATTCTCTCTCCTCCAATGCTTGCAATTAGTTCAAAAATGCCGCAGCACACCTCTTAACTGGCTCCAGAAGGCATGATCACATCACCCCTGATCTAGCCAATCTACACTGGCTCCCCAACAAATACCATATCGTTTTTAAAATCCTTTTGTATACTTTTAGAATTTTAAATAACCTGGCACCAAGTTACCTAACTGACCTCATCGACTTGTATAGCCCCATAAGAGCATTTAGATCCTCTAACCAACTGCTCTTAGTGCAACCAAGGCTCCGCCGAAAGACTAGAGTTAGACTTAAATCGCTCTTAAAAACTCACTTGTTTAATCTAGCCTTTTAAGCACATTAGTTCGGACTTCCACCTGGTCTGCATTTGTGCTACATAACTGTAACTGTTTTTGTTGTCTTTTGTTGTAACCTGCATTCCGGCACTTGTGTGAAGCACTTTTATGGACACTGGTCCTTTTTAAATGTGCTATAGAAATAAACATTCATTGATTGATTGATTGACTGATTGACTGATTGATTGATTGATTGAGAAGAAAATTCTGAAATCAATTAAATCATTGTCTACTTACTTTTAAAATTTAGAATTTTACATTTAAATTTAAAAAGTAGACGTTGTGGGAAGCATTAAGCCACTTTGCTCTGTTTTAAGTGTCGTAAATAGAATTGAATTGAATTGCCCTTTATTTCCATTGCACATGTAAAATTAAATTATGGGTGCTCCACACCAACTGTGGATAAATAAAATATAAATAGTAAGACAGCAGGTATAAATAACAAACAGGAGAAATATATACAATCAAGACGAATCTATTAAAAACAATAGAAAAGGAACACGTTGGAGAAAAGGTTGCAAAGTGCTTGAAAGTAGAGCAAAGGACTTGGTCTGAGTAGAGTCTGTGTGTGATTGG